CCGCTGGCTGTGATGGCGATTTTTGACTCAGCTTTGGAATCAGTTTTTGAAGGATTAGACTTGGGGTTTAGGTTGAAACGTGAGAAGAAGGACGTATTCACTGTTTTACCCACAGGCTGTTTGTTCACACTCCCCCACCAGCTTTCTGTCTCGCTTACTACATCACAGTCTGTTGCACTCATTGGTCAGCGTGTTGGCCAATAGGCACAGACATGGTTTGAAAAACAACAGGTTGTTCTCATCAAAAATCTTCCGATGTCTCATTCATCTGGGCCAGACTAAATTACACATTTAATCTCACATTTAGTCTGGTTTATCAGGCTACCTTTATTGTCCAACAATGGGGAACTTCATTCTCTGCATTTTGACCCATCACCCATCACTGCTCTAACCCACTTGGCCAACACTGGAAACACCCCCTGGAAGCAGATTACGTAATTATCATTGTTTGATGAGGGGTCAAAATCTTAAAAAAAATACATAAATATTGTAGGACAAAGTCTTGGAAATATATTTAAAATATATGCAAATCTAAAACTGAGATTTTTTATGTAAAGAAATATAGATATATCTTGCAAATACTTTCTTACAAATAAAAAGATGGCTTATTTCTGGGCATGACTTAGAAGTAGGAAGGGAAAAAATGACTAGCTGTGGGTGCTATAATGGGAATGTATGAGGAGACAAACTGACTTGGAGCAAATGCAGCTCTATTGATTCCCATTTCCAAACATTTGTCAGACAAAGCTCTACCTCGGGTTTTATTGTATTTACTTGTTATACCATTCCTCTCATTCAAAATTATGTTTTGTCCTTTTTTTTGCTCGAATTTGAAGGATTTTCCATTCTCTCCTATAATGCCAGATGTATTCTAGCTCATCTTGCTTGATATAATATCAGAGCTACTTCAGCTTTTTCAACTTTTGCTGAACTGGCTTCAACATAACTCTTACTCCCACTGCAGCAGAAAAGCAATTACTCCCAGTACAACTTAAACCAATACTACTATGGTGTCTACTTCTACTCACACCTACACAAACCAATTCAGCACACCTGAGTCCAGAGCAATCAGGTCGGCCTGTCTGATTAGAGTGAGGGGAGTGTGAGAGGACCAGCTGAGGCCAGAGTAAAAGGGCCTGAAGGAATTATTGACCCATCTCAACTCTAACCCCCTTTTGCTCGCACAGGCACACTCTGAGCTGTGACCTGTGAAATTACTGCTCTGCTAGTGAGATTTGTTTCTGCAGGGCTTTATCAGCTCGTCAATGTCCCGTGAAGGCAGGTGAGAAGAAAACACAAAGACACGCATGCAAAGAGGAGACAAGCACTCATTATATATAAAAAGAAATAAGAAAAGCACAAACAAAATAATCAAATTCAAAGAACACAACAGAGGACTTAATTATGCTGAAATAAATTGCTTGTCAATTCATTTTTCAGTTATTTAGCCGTTACTGCTGTCAACCATGTCATTGCTGTCGAAGATTTTTAAGCACTTCACAGTAATTATTGGATTTATTTTGGTGTTTTTAAATCTGACTTGTAAGCTATTCAAGCGACTTTGCCATAATTACATGTCTACGTGTTGCGTGTCTCTTTAATATCTCCAAGAAGAGGAAGAAAGGGAGTGAAACAATAGGAAGGAATTAATAAGAATCTCAGTATGGTGTCATTCATAATACACATGCCGCTGAATATTCATGAGGCTAAAAACACAGCCAATTAACTTCCCTAAATATAAATATTCATGGTCGATGCAAGCGTATATCCATTTTCTCTTTTGTTGTTTGGGCACTCCTGCATGAAGGGCTGAAGATCTGAGCATGTGTGGCAGAAGGATGGGAGACGAGGGCAAAGGAGCTTCGTTTGTCTGCATGGATGTTTGAAAATTCAGCTTCTTTGTACCGCCTCTCTCCATCCGGCTTTCTTTGTTATCATCTAGATCTCTCACAAACATCTGCATAACAAGATGTCAGATCAGAAGAATGACAGAGCTTTGGGACTGAGTAAAAGGAGATGGGGAATGTACAGTACTTGACAGCATCTTTTCTAATCTAAATAGACTTGTTGTGTTCAAACAAGTAGTACTTTTATACCCTCAGTATGGGAATAATTTGGAGGAGAAAAACAAGAATTTTTTAAATGTGGACTTTTCTGCATGTTGTTAAATACAGAGTCCTCCAGAATAACTGGAACCCTCTGGTAAAGATGTGAAAAACAAACCTTCAAAATACATTTATTTCTTATTGTAGTTGCATATTTGCAGAAAAAAATAAGAATTGTGATATATTTATTTCTTAAGGAACAAAGTCCTTCATTAACAAATAAAACTGTTCAAAAACATTCTAAATTTAATGGAACTCAAAGCACTCAAGGCCTTAAATAAAAAAAGAAGTTATTTTTTTATTGAAAACCTAAAGAGGTAAAGAAAAAAGTGCAATGATTTGAGGGCATACCCATGTACTGTAGAGCGGTTAAGTTTGGAAACAGGTTATGGATTAAATCTAATTCCATTGCTTTTCAAAATCGACTTGCAAAATCCTATTTGTTCATATTGTCAATGTTGCTATCAATGTTGTGAACTGATGTCATATTTCTTGTCACTGACGCTATTTGGAGTGAGAAGAACAACAAGTCTGAAAAAATGAGCAACTTTACAGGAGAAAAAAACAAATTAATATTAATAAATCTTAAACCCAATCAATCTAATTACAGGTATAGATTAATTTACATATATTCAAATTTAAATGTAGTCATAATAGAGTGCAATACGGTGAGACTGGGCAAATAATTGCATACATTTTACATTTAGCAAGCTTAAGACATGGACTATCTTACTCCAGTCCTTAAGATGCTGATAACACACTTGCTGCCACAGAAGGAAAAATAGTTGCAGCTAGAAGTCAGAACCATGAATGCAATCATGGGTACAGTAGGTAGTAACTAGTTATTAGCACTTATTTTGATGATTCACCCGGAAAAAGAACATCCTCCGCTATACTTTTAAGGAACTTTGGGGGAAAAAATACCTTTAGGAGTAATTCAACTTAGTACCTAATACCTTTGTGTACTTTTTACTTTAACTTAAATAATATTGCTTAAATAGTATTGCTATTACTTGAGCAGAGTTTCGGATTACTCTATCAACCCTGAGTAACTTGAGCTAGGAAATACACAGTAAGCAGTAGAGTTTAGAGTCTAGTGTTACTTAAGTAAAATCTTTAGGTAATCTACTCACTGCTGGATGCAAATAAACACTTTCACACAAAAAATAACAGTAACAAAGGACTCTGAACAAGCAATCACTAAAGGACATTGAAACAATGAACACTGGAGTGAAACATCTGCCCTACTGTCATATTCAGTTTATTACAGCAATTGAACTTGGCAAAAAAATATCTTAGAAATTCCAATTAACTGCATCAAGTAATTGACTTAGTAGCAATGCTTCTTTCAAGGGAAAATATAGTGAGTGTGAAAAGTAAATCTGCTTTTTTAACAGAAAGAGTTCAAACATTGATGTCTCTCTGAATTCTAAAACATTCTGCTTTGTTTTTTAGCTCTAAAGTGCACTTTACAGCTAAGAGTAAAGTCATTCTACAGAACTGATGCACTAATTTAAATATTTAAGAAAACAAAAAACTTTCTATCCTTTATGAAAGTAAGAAACATAAATTCAGCATATCCTTAAATGAGCATATTTCAGGCTATACCATTCACTCTCTTTTTGTCAAGCTAAATTTAAATTATTTTATTTCCAAGAAATGCAGCATTATATTTTCAAATATTTAATTTTACCAACAATGGAATAATCAGCCAAATACTTATTTTATTTTTCAAATGCTGTTTATTTGAGATGAGAAAAATCTTATTCAGTTATTTGCAGGGTTTACAAATTTGGCAATAACTTCACTTTTGCCTGCTGCAAGAGTGAATTGTGTGGAGGGTGCTGTATGTTTCATTAATGGCGCATGTGTATGGCTAAAATTAGTTGATGTTGTCAAAAAAGGTTGACGCTTTCATTTAATATTTAACAGTTTTATTTTTCAAAAGTTCTCCAAAAATATTATGCATGGAAAAAAAAACAGTAACTAAAACTTTGTGTTTAAAGTCCTTGCTCTTTAAGAAATTTAATTATTTCCAGCCTCGAACACAGAGCGGTGCCGTCTTGTTAGATTCTTTCTAGCACTGTTCTCAGTTTGTATCTCGTAAATGACTTTGCACAGTGGAAAGTTTCCTTGTTTTTGTAAACTAAATAAAAGTTATAATGTTAGATCTGTTATTTCCTGTCTTTGCATCTCATGATCATATGAAAACCTGATTTTTGCTGTTTCCTAATTCAACTGAAAGGAAGATAAAGTTATATATCAACATTTTTCTTGTGTTCTTCTAACTGGGTGAATTAGAGAGCAAGAAAAGTGAAAAGAAATTCAAATTTTCCCAGCTTAGCATACTTATACTTGAAACTGATAGAAAATGAAGAAAAAAATAGAGCAATAAGCTAAGAATGGAAAAAAATTACAAGAAACGGCAAGAGACAGCCAGCCACTGAGTAAGACGATTATGTGGACACTAACTGGGAGAGAGAGCTGGAGTATGAGATAGGCGAAGGAAGGCTGTATAACTGGGGAGAGCAGTGATAACACATCAGCTATCTTGTTGAACCAGGCCTGCGTGTGTCTCACCTGCCTCAGAGACACACACGCTTACTCTAATTGCTCAAACACAATCATGTGAAGTAAACAAGTGGTCGTTTGAGTGGTGGACAGTTACATCACATTTACGCTGCCATGCAATGCACCGCAGCTGTGTTACCATGGTAATGGAGCTTTTATCTGATCCAGGGTCAGCTCTTATTCACATCAAGGCCACATCTGCTGTGCTTCAAACAGGTATGCAACAGACAGTCATTCACACCTACTCACGCGGAGATGGATTAAAAGTAGGGCATGATTCGTGCAACATCTACAGTAATTAAAAAAAAGCAAAATGTTACTTACATTTTGTTACCACACCCTCCAGCCTGATGATGTTTGGATGGTCGAACTGTCCCATGATGGACGCCTCAGAGAGGAAGTCTCTCCTCTGCTTGTCAGAGTATCCTGCCTTCAGACTCTTGATGGCCACATAGATCTCCCTCTTCCCCTGAACACGCAGACGACCGCTGCACACCTCCCCAAACTCTCCTGACAAACACACAAACACAAAGGCGTATAATATTACTGATAAAAATTAATAAGAATTCCCTAGATACTTTGGTCCTTGAAAGATTTGTCCTGCTACACCAATTTTTTTGCAATTTCAGGCAAAACAACAACATAAAAAAATCCTACACAAAATAGCACATAATTGTGAAAACTCTCAAATTTGAAACATTTTATAAAGCAAGACAATAATCAGCTCCCTAAGACCATAACGTTATTACAGTGAAATATAAAATCTATCAGGACATGTTCCCAACATGTCTAAGGAGTGGGGGATGTAGTCTAGTGGTTACAGGACAGGGAATTTAAATCCTGGAGAGGTTATAAGATCTGTCACCCTGGGTCCTTGAGCAAATCCCTTAACCCCAAAATGCACTCCAGACGCTGCAAGCTGCACAGTGCTCCCTGAGGGATGGATTATTTAACATATTTTCTTTTGGTATGTAAAATAATGCAATGACAAATGAAGGTGATTATTATCACGAGTAAATTATTTGCTGATGATTTAATGTATTTGGACAAAAGTTCTGCAGCATACTAGTTGCACTTGTTTTAACTGGACCCTTGTAACACATTTATTTTTATATAGGAACAGTTTTATTGTAACTCTGTAGGGTGAACCCTCCCAAAACTCTTTTTATTGTCTAGCAGGTTTTATTTCAGTAATTCCAAATATTTAGCTTGATCCGTCACCAATTCTAACATGCTTTCCATGTCCCTCTTTAAGACCAGTATCTCCACAGCATCATGTTGCCACCATGTTTTACCATGTGGATAGTGTAGCATTTTTAATGTTGGCTAAAACATGAAAATTTGGGCCTATTTGACAAGAGCATGTTCTTCTATACCTGTAAACATGGTTTTGATAATTATATTCTTTATTTACCAAGAATGCAGTTAAAAATAGTGGACTTAAATGCAAAGATCATATAGATATCAAGTTGAAACTCCAATGTATGCTGGGTTTTTAAACTTTTTAAAGCTCTCTTCTGCCAATTCAATTCAATCCAGTTTATATAGCACCAATTCACAACACATGTCATCGGAATGCACTTTACAAATACAATTCAACCAGGTCACACAGTCAGATCAGTTCAAAGTTTTCTATCTTAGGAAAACCACCACACGTCAATATAGACCAGACATTTTGATTGAGAGTCCAATACTTGTCCTGTTAACAGATCCCCAGTTATCTATTCAGATTCTCCAAATTTCCTGGGGACCTACTGGCTGCTTGTCTGATTAATGTTCTCCTTGCCAGTACTGTCAGTTTAGGTAGATGACCACATTAGTGAAGGTTTAGAGTTGTTTCAAAATCTCCTTAAATACATTAAAATCTATGGTTATTAGTGACCAAAATGGAGAAATCTTCAAGGCAAATCGACATTGTGCAAAGAAAAAAAAAAAGCTTTGCACTATGTGTTCATAAAAAGCAGTAAAACAAAGAAAAATATATGCAATATTAATGTTAAACAGATTTTCTGTAATTCTTTGATGCTTCCGTGGCAACTAACCAGCTCCGATGACTCTCTCTATGCGAATGTTGGAAGCATCTATCTCTTTGGCAAAGTCTCGGACAGCCTGGTTTGGGTCTTCATAGGTGTGAGGATGGATGTACGTTCTGCTGCCTGGAAGCTTCACTACATTAACAGAAAAGGAGAAAGAAAAACTTAGAATTCAATGTTTTTACATGATTCCTTAAATCTTTAAGATAAAAACAAACCTTTACTTTAATTCATAAAACTTTCAATTGATATTTGATTTTTAAGGACAAATATTTATGCCTCAAAAAATTGTGGTTTCTCTGTGATTTCCAAGAGCTCTTGTATCATAGTGTTGACATGGGAGCTCTATTGTAGAAGCTCGCTATGTGACATAACAATATTTCACACAAATAAACATTTTGTTAGAAGCATTACTAAAATGAGTCACAATTTCAACAGAAACCAATACAGAGCAGCACTCTGCCAAGAGACGTTAATATAAGAGTCTGTGAAAAAACAATGTCTATGCGCTGCAAAGTTTTCAAATCAGATGACAAGCAAAGAAAGTAAGACTCTTGTATGCAAACAAACAACACAGTCAAGCTGCATTACACAGGGTTGTCACACCAGGCAATTTCTCCCTCACTAAGTTGCTTGCCCTACATAAAGAACTAACGTCATAAGTGACTGTTAAGACTGTTATTAGACAAATGTCGCTCTGAAATGATTTCTAAATGAATATGTGAGTGTCTTTACCTCGACCATGCTGGAACTGCATCTTCTCTTCATCAGGGTCTTGCTTGGCCTTTATGTATCCACAATGCCTGCAATAGAAAGGGATAGCTTTATTTTTCAAGTCTTGGATCAATTATACTAATACCTGGCCAACCTTTTGAAAAGCATTAGAAAAGACTGAAACTCTCAACCCTTAAGGATTTTTCTGTTCACTTTTTTTCACATTGTATTGAAGGTTCACTTAACAGGGTTTCCTTTCAAAACCATGCAGCTAGAGGTCATAATACAACCCTCCATAATAATAGATGTAATAAGCTAAAAGTGTTTGTAACATGTTAGTAAATAGGTTAATAACTAACGTAAATAATAACCATGATGTGCTGTGGATGTAAATGAAATGTCTTGTGTGTTTTCTTTTTCTATGTTGTTGAGAGCAGAACAGGTTTTAATCTATTCATTAAAGTTAAAGTTAAATTTATGTGACTGCTCTGGTAAAATATAAAAGTAATATCACACATTTAATAACCTGTATTCATTTTTCCTGATCTGGATTTAATGTTTGTACCACAAACGTCTATATTTAAACACTGTTTATAGAAGCAGTTATCTCATACACAAATACAGACCCACTCTGTTACTTTTCTGCTTCCTGGTAGTTAAGCATGGCTTCAGGCCTGGGTCAATCCAGATCAATACAACTACATTGACAAATTGATCAGCTGAATCCTGCAGTGCAGCTGTGAGGAAGTATTTCACTTGTTGTGTTCTGCAGCCCTCACAGCGGGAATCCACTGCCAGGATATGTGCGTGTTTGTGTGAGACCTGAGCATTTCTGATATCTTTTTTTTTTTTCTTTTTGATTCTGTGAAACTCCTGCCTGGAAAAAAAAAAAACCCAGGAGGCATATTCATCTTTTAAAAAGAAATATAAAAATTGTAGATTTGCTCTAACTTTATAATGGGGAATGCATTGACGTCTCCAACTGAATGCTGTATAAAACTTTTGTACATTTGGGAAATATTAAGCATATTACCAAAACCTTAGTCATACTTGCAGAATTCACTCCTACGGGATGAGCATGTAACCACAGTAGACATTCACATTTGTTATCAATTAGCAGCAATCCCTCACACTAAGCATGCATGCAGTGACAGAGGAGAAGAAGAAACTGTTTTGGCTGGAAATTAAAATCTCCATTGTCTTTTTTGTTTGGCTAGATGTAAAATAAAAGCAACTCCTGTTATCTCCATTCAGAAATTTGACAATGTCTCACTGCACTGGAGATTGCTCATTCTGCTGTAGATTTGGGCATAAACATCATGATTACTTTATAGAATACATTTTATAAATTCCTTCAATAAAATGTTTCAGAGTAATCTAGATATTTGCTCAGACTCAGTTCGTAAACAAAACACCTTCAAACCAAATATAATGAAATATAAACACGTGGATTATATTATATGTAATTTCTGTATTTTCTTATTCTTATTTTTGAAATATATTTCTCTTTTGAGCATTGTTCTATATGATCATTTGACGGGTTATTCTGAATTTCTTAAAGGTAATTTTCTGAAACCTTATCAACAGAGGAACTACTTAAAGGCTAAAGGCCTCCTTGTACAATGAGCAAAGCATCTAGCCAGTACGTCAGTACATTAAGAAGATAAATTGAAGTGAGCTCAATACGAGAAGTAATTGGGAATACGTGGCTCAAGCGGTATGTGATTAAAAAAATCAGTAGAGAGGAGGACAGAAATGAAACTGAGACTGAAAGGGACAGAGAAAAGAGATCTTATAAAGAAAAGGGGTAGAGAAATGAAATGAAGACGGACAGAATAAAACAGAGCAGGCAGTGCAGTATGCAATGGAGGAGCAAAGATGGGGAAAGGGTGGGGTCTAACTAAGCTCAGTAAGTCCTTAAGTTAGTTAGTCCTTCTGTTGACTTTACACAGCTGAGTCTGCTGTGACACTGACATCAATAGTCTGCTATGGGAATACAAACTCTCAGGCACATAGGCACATGTGCAAAATGGTTGAAACTGCTGGTTTGTATCTGAGAATGGGGGGTGGGGTTAATGTTCTTAACAGGGGTTTGTTTGGTCCCACCTGCTTATCAGCATGGCTCAACCCAGCTAAACACCAAGGGACTATCATTACCCCCTTGACTCCCAGTCTCATATACTCAGTGCTCTGGGGCATGTGTGTTAAAACATATGGGGAATGGGGATATAGGTGACACCTCTGCTCCAACTGTGTGAATCCCCCAAGGATGCAAAGTCAAACCCAGACACAAAGACACACCCGCACACATATGAATGCGCATGTTCTGCAAAACCTATGTTGGAAACACCCCCCTTCTCTCCCCTCCTTCACTGCCTGGTGTGTTAATGTATGTGTGTGACTCAGTGAGTGCATGGCTGCATATTTATATGTGTGTCTGATGGGAAATGAACACATTTCCATAGTAATTAGAGAGCAGCTCATTCCTCCTCTCCAGTTAGGAGTGTCATGACTCATTAGCGCAGCAGTCTTAAACATGGCGCAAAATCTGACATGGACATGCTTTTTGTTTCCCTCGACAGCTGTGTTCTGGGTATATATGTTCCAAACAGCTATTTAATACCTTTAACTGAACGCAGCTGACCTTTGGTTCATCTGTTAAACACACTACAATTGGACTCAGGAGAACAATATGAAGATCATTTTCCGCCAATATAGGTACTTCCTTTCTTATTTCTATTCCTCACATACAAAGGGTTTCTGCAAGCTTCAGTGAATCGAATCTTTTGCTTTTTATTAGACTTTGAAACCCATTATACAATCTGCATATCTTATAAAACACCTAAAACACCTTCCAATAAGTTAACATATCCGTTTTTTAAATTATATTTAACTTGCCTTAAATTACAATTAACTTACCTAAGTGTTGAGAAAACTATAAATCATGGCACAGACTCTGCATCACACTAATAATACCAAACCAAAATACTACATATTTTGTGCCATATTATATTTGATGGTCTGAACTTCCATATCAATGCGTTTTTGCACCATGTTTTTCTCCCACACTGTTTACATTTGATCACTGCTGCACTTTATAGAATGGAAATGGAAATGTTCTGAAAGCTGTACAAAACGAAATTGTCATTTTGTATACACTCTGTGTATACAAAATGACAATAAAAGTTGTATAAGTGTAACTTATGCAAGGTAAAACATCCAATTTTAGGTTTCTGTTGATGTCTTCACAGCCCTTTAATCAACATATTGTCATTATCAGTTCGTATGAAATCGTACGAAAAGTTATGCACAGTATTTCGTACGTTTTTGACGTTTTTCCGCGAAAAAACAGATCAGTGCGCATGCGCAGCCAGCCAGACGAAAAAAGCAGATCCGCGGACGGACGTAAAACTGGGAAAAACAGTACAATAATTAATTCTTGATGTCTCACTAGGTTGCTTGCTGTTTTGTATCTTAGGGTTAGGGTCAGGGTTAGGGTTAATTGTATGTTAAATTCTATGTTATTGAATGGTGCATAAGATGCGCATGCGCAAGGATATCTTGTCTCGAGGCAAGACCTAAAAATACGACGAAATACGACGAAAAAAAAGGTACAAAATTACTGTGCATAACTTGAGAATACACTGCTTTAATTCAATATCTTCTTGCAGTATAGATAAATAATCATGGATACTTTTAGCAAATTTTAGCAATCAAATTATAACTAATTGCCTTAAACTTACAAAAAATATTTAGGTAGTAAAAAAAGTAACAGTGCAAGCAAAGACTAAAGATCACATGAATGATACGAATTATAGGGTTATATATATGATTCAAACCTACTTTTAATAATCTGGATTTATTTGCAACTTATTTATAAATTCCTATACTAGACATAATTACAAAATAAAAATACCTCTACAGTGGAAATGGGTGCATTGTAATGGGTATTTTTTCTTTTGTTTAAAGATTTATTCTTAAAAGTCTAAATTTGTTTCATTTCTGTAAATCTATATAAAGTTGAATAAATATTGGGGCAAAAAAGATGTTTATGACATCTTGTTTGTTGGGTTGGGTTAGATAAAATCAGAAGTGGTGCATAAAATAATCCATATTGGGTTGTCTTAAGACCAGTTTTTTATGCGCAGTGCATGTTTTCCATGGCTAACCACCATAGGAGCAGTTAATATCCATTATCAGATAGTATTAAATCATAAGTAAAGTTTAAAACATTTATACATGTTTTTTCTGCAGATTTTAATTACATACCTTTTATTTATTTTTTAAATAAACAGGTACACCGTAGTTGTAATACATGGATCATATTTGTACGGAAAATGAAGTACAAACAAAGGAAATGTTAGGGTGTAGGTATGAATACAGGTATAATATGGGTATGAACTGGATAAGGGGAGATGTGATCATAGCTTTATTCCAAAGATATTTACACTACCACCTACGGAAGTGAGTGAAGGTATCCAACTTAACCATCATACAGCTGTAGTATATGTAGCAGGCTGGCACTGTAAGTACACCAATACATCCAAATGTTTAGCTGTACATCCCACCCAGATATGAACTACACTGTCTTGCATTGATTAATCAAAAGCACACACTTGAACGGGCTGCTGTATCGCTATCAGAGCCCAGCTCTCACCTTTCTCTCTGCCTCTGTTCTACTTCAGCGAGGACAACAGGCTATCCCTGTCCTCCAAAGCCACATGCTCCAAATTTGCATATCAATTTACTTTTTAATATAATACTCTGTCGCTTGAGACCCATTTGTCATTCCACTACCAAGCTTCCATCCATATATTATCGTCACTTGTACCCCTCCTTCATTTTGCCACTACTTTACATCCTGACTTGCTGCTCCTTATCTCTCTAAATTCTTTTCCTTTTTGGCAATGAAGTTGTTTTTTGCAAAAAGACACTGATTCTCCTTTTATTTTTGCTACAATTCTTTCCTCTTTATATCCTCTTTAAAGAAGCTCTCGCTGCTGCCCTTTTGCAGCTGTGCAGCTGTGCTTTCCTCCCATTTGTTCTAAAGAGTGGACATGAGTGGCTGGGTAAAAGAATGAGGAGAGGG